CCAAAACCCCTACCTTACAACCTAATGCACTTACATATATGAACATATTATTGCATAATCAGAATCTACATACAATTTTACCCATAGTCACTCACTACAACTATACCTCTATCTCTATTAGTTTAGAAGATAATCCAATATGAAGGTTAAAGCCATACCATAACTAGTCATTAATTAGTATTTAATAGTATTTTACCACATATATATAAGTACATAGACATAGATTATTAAATCAGCAGGCCTCCACCAGTAGTGCAGAGCAGTTATACAACTCTTGCATGCATACATGCAACCATTAGGCCTCCACTTAGTTACTTAATTGAATTTACGCAGACTTTGCATAAGTGCATGTGGACAGAAAAACCTCCACCAGGCAGTGCAACCAGTTATGCAATCCTTACATACAGTAGTACCATATTTAGTTATTTACACAGCATAATTAGCTCAATGCATGTACTCTTTGCAGGAGGCAGTGCAACCCACAAGGTCACCACCAGCAAAATCACCTCAACTGCATCACCACTAGCAAAAATAACTCAGAAAAGAATATATAAGGAGGCCTCTCCTTCACCAATTCCCCCCATCATCACCCAGCCAGCACAGTACCCAGCTAGCTCAGTGGTCAACACCATCATCACCCAGCCGGTTCATCCCCCCCAGCCAGCTCAGTGGTCATCATCATCCAAGTCTAGTCAACACCAGTAACAACAGCAACACCAACACCAACACCAACAACAACATCAACAACAACAACCAACAGTTTCACTACTTATCCAGAATCACCGTAAAACCATAAAACCCTATAAAATATTCCACTTCAACTTGGATTGTTTTCACACTCACATTCACCGTGTAAAGGTTGTACAACCATCTTGTATTGAATTACATACTGATCTAGGTCTGATAGAGACTACTACATATAAGTTTTCTCCATCACAAAGTTACGCCACAACAATAAATTAAATTGTTGTCAGAATTCTTGTGTAGTAAATAGAGGGGCAGGTCTTTCAAACCACCCGTAACAGTAAATATTATCTAGTGAAATATCATTATTGTTATTTCCCCCTCAAGGACTGCCAACCCATCCCAAAGGAGTTCTCACATCTGGTGTCCCAACAGTGGCCGACAACTTTCAGAAGATCAACGACGTATCATCAATATCATCAAGACTTATACTCAACCCTGGATCACGAGCACAAGGATTCGACTTTGGCACGGACAGGCGAGGAGACCAACGACCAAACGGACTTAGGCGAGGAAGCAATTACAGATAATAGGATTAGAAGGACTTGGCACAACGGTAGTTTAACACGGCAGGAGATCCATTCACTTGAGGAAGTCGTGGAGGAAATCGAACGGGAAAAACGGCAACAGGGAAATATGGCGAATCCGGAAGACTCCAGCATGGACCAATCGGCAATCATCCAGGAACAACAAGAGAAGATATCAAGGATGGAATCATCTATGGCGGAAATGAAGGAAATGATGAAATCTTTCTTCAGTCAATCAGCATCTCCTCGTGGCCCACCCTTACCAGAAACCCCATCTCCAAGGATACAAAACTTGAGATTTGGAACGTCAACCCCTTACACCGGCAGGATACCAGGATTGGAGACGACCATTGGCGCTGGAGAGCAAAGTATCCCTACTTCAGCTATTCAATCACCAGGGTTCGAACAAACCAGGGTCAGGACAGAAATAAAACTTCCGGATGAACAGAGAGGAGTAGTTTTGGACACGAAGAAGACTAACCTCTACTTCGAAGGAACGGAAGTGGAACTTTTTATAAAAAGAGTCGAGAAGGTTGCGGTGTTACAGAAGGCAGGCGGAAGAGATGTGGCTTTCCAATTACCCTTCATCATCAGTAATCGAAAAATCAGCGAAGCTATAGAGCAGATGGAAGGACACGAAACTGGAAATTGGGAGCTTTTGAAGAAAGAGTTAATCCGGAAGTGGGGAAGGGCAACACCTCTGAGACGCTACAAGGAAGACTCTATACCAAGACTCATACGCAAGGCCCAGGAAAATGGTGGCATCAACACTAGACTAGAATACAAGAAGTTTATCAGCGAATTTGAGGAAATTATGGACTACTTTACAAGGATGGAGTACCAAAATCTTAACCCAGATAGCGGGAACCCATTGTGGAAGGCACTCTCCACGGAATTGAAGAAGGAAGTCACCAAGGAATTAGCCCACGCCAAACAACTCCAGACAACAAAGGACGGGAGAAACATAGTCCCGGACCTGGAGAAGCTTAAGAAATATGTGGAAATTGCCTTGATAATTGTGGATTTCGACGGAGATGACGAAGAGTACAAACCTAAAGGAGCAGGTCAAAAAGACGGTCAAGATTCAGGAACCAGCCACCAAGGAAGACTTAGAAGAAAAGCTTACAAAGTTAACTTCCGCCTTGGAATATCAGAATCGCCAAGCACCACCACCACGTCAGCAGACCATCATCACCGGGACTCTCAGATAACAGACCAAGATACGGCCCTTTGGAATGTTTTTACTGCAAGGAGAGACATGTGGTCACCCAGTGTGAATACCTCAATCAAGATATGCAGGATCGGAAGGTGTACAAGTCTCAGGGGACCTACTATTATCCAAACCGCCAGGCAATTGTCTTAGACAAGGATTCATCTGTTAGAGAATTAGTCAGAAAGTTTGCGGAAGAGCAAAGCACTTCTTCAAATCCTCCACCCAAGGAAGCCGTGAAGGAATCAACGTCAGCGGTGGCAGAAATTGAAGAATGGGGATCTTGGGTTCCACCACAAGTAAACATGGAGGAAGGTGACCTACAAAACAACCTAGGTTTTGGACTCCGGAAATCCCAGAGACTACAGGAGAAGAATGCACCCTCCGGTAGCCAACCAGCTCCCAGCAACCCTGTAGGAACAGAGGGACAACCATCAAATATTCAGGACGAGGGGCCGAAAACAGCCGCAAGGAGAGAAAGTTTTCCGGGATCCTGGCTTGAAGACAACGACGATGAAGAAGAAGAAGAAAGGATTATTATACCTACTAAGGCTAAGACCCGACCAGTTCCGCCAGCAAAAGAAAAGCAGGCTAGGACGGAGACGGCAGATAAACAAAAGGAGATAATTGGAAAATTGGATAAATCATTGAAAGCCAAATTTTACCGCCAGTCGTACACTCTCACCTTAGAAGAAATCTTGAAGATCTCACCAAATTTCTTACAAAGTTTGCATGCGGTACAACCAGAGGAAGACTTAGCTGAAAGAGGTTTAAACAGTGTCAAATTCAACTGTGCAACCAACACAAGTATGGATAATGAAGAACAAGATTCTGGGCTTACGTACGCATGTCCAGTGGGAATGGTGGATATGACCATAAATAAACGCAAAATTAGGACCTTGGTGGATACTGGTGCGGAAATGAACATCATTCCGGACAGTCTGGCAGACCAACTTGGACTCTTAACAACAGAAATATTCATGCGGTTGAAGGGAATCGGGGGACATTTTACACCAATTATTGGGATTGCGGAGAACATGTCAGTGTATTCCCAGGACACATTCACCTGGCCAACTTCTTTATTGTTAAGGGATCAGTACATACCGTTATAGGACGACCTTTCCTGGCAGATCATAATATCCGGCTAGAGTTATCAAGTCAAAAGGGAGAAGTGTTAAGCTTTTTGGACACAGATCAACGGAGGTTATGCATACCAAAATGCTTACCAAATACACCAGGATGGCACAAAGAACCACCAAAACTTCGACAAGTCTGCACTTTTCAAGTCGACGAATGGGAGGCTGAAAGTATCAGTTCAAAAGATTTTGACCTGCAGGAGAAGATGGAGGAGTACAATAAAACAATCCCGCTTCTAAATGAAGATCCATGGCAGGTTGTTTTATCAGAACCGGTAGATTGGGCACAAGAACTGGGCGCAGCAGAAGTGGACGAGGCGGCCTGGGATATGTTCCACCAAATTAATTCAACCGTATGGGGAACAAATGTCGATCCAGAACGAGACGCTTGGAGCCTGTACAAGGAGGAGGTCTGGTTACACCCGCGGTTCAAGGAGGTATTCACCTGGCCTACTCAGAAAAGGTCACTACGGAGATCACCCTTATGGTCACAAGAGTTACCAGGAGGCGGCTTGGGATCATTGGACTTCTTCCAGATTCTCACGACAGAAGCGGCAGACAGTTTTTTACAATACGGAACCTGGAACTCAAGATATGGACCAGTCAGCATTGCTATTAGGCAGCGGTTGTATGGAGGTGGAGCAAAGAAGTGGTACAAAAAGCACATATCAAGAAGCTACAAAGCTAAGAGCATAAGGAATGCCAGCTTTGGAGGCTACCAGTTTTTCATTTGAAAAAAAAAATATTTCACTTACAAATATATTTTCACATTCCTCAGTGGTGTATTAATAGCAAGATTTTTTTGGGTCATGGGGGCAGGGTGTATTGCAAAAAAAAAAAAAAGAAAAAAAAAGGGCATACACATGAAGTAGCAGGGCTAGATACAAATACATGGCTAATATGAAGAAAAGGTTTTTTTTTTGGCTTTTAAAAGTTTTTTGGATTTTTTTCTTCTTTTTACTCTAAAGAACATGATAGTATAAGAAACAAGAAAAAGGGATACATTCAGGCCAGGTTTCACTTATCAACACCATTCCTATATACCAAAAAAAAAAAAAAAATTCTTGTCAGTTATACATACAACACAAAACAAAAACAAAAAAAAAGAAAAGAAAAGAAAAGAGAAAATCGACTCTGAATGGACAAGGGAAGTTCAGCTATGTCTATGTTGATAACTACTGTCCTCAGTTGCTATTGGACAGGACAGAAGATCGGAAAAGAACATCGGACGAGCGAAAGACTGACAAGACCGAGGAGATGAGCTAGGAGCTGACGAGGCCGAGGAGAAAGTTGCGACGAGAGGGGTCCTTTTATATTCGAGATCGAGAAGAGGAGCCTCAAGGAAGGTGAAGGATCAATCTCAGAGATGTCGTATTGCTGTGATAGTCGGACGAGCGGAGGAGAGAAAGAGCTTACGCGCAAGCCGTTGCTATCAAGACCATCAATCACGCTATGTTGTCCGGTACGCAAAACTCAACGGCTGTTTGAAGGAACGATGAGGCCAAACATGATCGAAAATGAAACCCAAAACGCGATAAAACGAGTGACTTACCATAAAGAAGTAACTCGGCAAGTTCGTCGATCGAAAGCCAACGGAGTCCAAGAATTATGAGGGGATCCAAACGAGATTTGGCGACCGTTTTGAGAAGATGTGGAGGCACGGCGTGTATGGGCAGCAGCAATACGTTGTTGGAGGAAGATTTTTTTGATCGATCACAGCTGTGTTGCATACACAAAACCAATGGCATCTAAGAAGTATCGAAGGATCCAAACACGCTCGGCGGCGGTTTAACAGAAGCTACAAGGTGGAGGAACAGCTGCGGGGCGAGATGACAAGGACGTTGAAGGGCGCTCGGCGTTGATCGAAAGGGACTAGCGGGTAGAGTACAGCACAACGATTAGGCCAGCGCTTGACTCGGTAACATGCAAGACAAATTCACAGCAACTTACAAGTGTAGAGCTCGGAGGATCCAATCAAGGCACCGTTGCCAGTTCACAAGGACGTTAACGAGCTTTTGGCGTTGATCGGGAGGAGCGAATAAGCCCACAGCGCGATCGCGTCTTCGGAGGAAAAGATGAAGCTACTGGGAGGATCGGTGAGGACGGTTGAAACGGCGATTGAATTGAAAGAGCTTTGGCTAGAGGAACGAAGTGGCAGTTAGTTTGGATGCAAGAAGCTACACGCAATGCAAGGAAGTGTGAATTACCGGTACAGATGTTCGGCGGATCCAATGGATTTACCGTTGACAGATGGTGCAGCTGGGGATCTCATTCTCGGCTCGATTGACGGATACTACTAGCCAAGGAAGGCAAGACAACAAAGGAAAACGGCAGTTAGCCTGACTGCAGCGCGTGGAACGATAAAGATTGGAAAGCTTACCGGGGTATTGGTTTGGTGGATCCGCGGAGATAACGTCGGAAACCGGCGAGGACGTTGGAGGGTACTTGACATTGATCGTGGGTATCGGAGTTCGGACGGCCGACGAGTACATGCACCCAAAAGTTTTTTTTGGTGTCTAACAGCGGGCGAGTATCAGGATTAGTTTGTGTCTGACTGGGCAGAGCAAGTGTCACCAACGTTGTGACACTGCACAAGCTGGTCAACCGCAGCAGGCCCTGCCTTCTATGTTCAACCAGACAACCACCACAAAACACACCAGCCCTACTCAGCACAACACAAGTAAAGCTTTACATTGGAGCATCACAAAAATTGTAAGAGCAATGAAAACAGCAGGGCTCCAACTAATATAAAAAAAAAAAAAAAAAAAAAAAAAAAAAGAAGGAAGGACTGGGGGTCTAGGTCCTGTATGACCTTAAACTGCAAAATTAAAGCTAAGAAGAGGTCCTGTATGACCTTAAACTACAAACTTAAAAGAGGTCCTGTATGACCTGAAACTGCAAATTTAAAATTGAAAGAGGTCCTGTATGACTTTAAACTACAACTCAAAACTGAAAAAGGTCCTGTATGACCTTAAACTGCATTACTTCAAGGCTCAGAAAACTCAGTTACACCGGGGATGGTCCCACATGACCTTAAACTGTGAAATTAATCAATTTTTTTCAAAAATTATCAATCACAATGGGAGGTCCTACATGACTTAAAACTGTAATCTAATTTGGATAGGAAAAATCAATCAAATGGCAGGGCCAAAACACAAAATTAAAACACGGCAGGAAATGCATTATCATTATTTATGCACGGACAGGACTATGTGAATTGGACACCTTACAGAAGAAGAATTGGAAGAAGGCAAATCAGAAGATGAAATAAGTAGTAATATTAGTCATAATGAAAGTAGAAGGGAAGAAGAATCCAACTCCGGAGAAAGTAACAAAGACAGCAACGAGTCAGTAGAAGGCGAATTTTAGGCCATTGATTAAAGAGAAGAATAACAGGTACTATACGGAAACAAATTTTTTAAATAACAAGGACTGGAGGCTTTATTTATTGGAATAACGCGGAGAGAGATTAGAAACTAAAACAGGAAGAAAGTTCAGAAGATAGCAGATCAACCAATTATACTAAATAGTAATATAGTTTAGACTTGAATAGAGATTATCGATGTGAAGGAAAAATAGAATGAAAATGTGGAATAAATAGTTAAGGAATCCTTCCGGGGGGACGGTGAATTGAACGTGTATTCAAAAGCCCATTCGACTCAGCGGTTGGAGACCTTTCTTTTTGGAACAGCCTTCAAATACATCAACCACCAGCCTTTTCCTTGGACTAATACCCATGAAATAGAATGAAAGAGAGTCGTATTTGGAGCCTTTGATTTGGACGTGGCAGGCGGAGAACGAGACGAGGAGAATAACAAGGACAAACGTATATTATAATTTAGGAATAAGAGGAAGAAATCAGTTACAATGAAGAAAGAACCTGCACGGCGGAAACTCAATCAAAGTGGAACCCAATCAGATGAACAGAAGGACCAAGTCATGAAGAAAAGGAGAATCAGTAGGATATCAGTTAGGAATCGAAACATATTAATGAATTAAAATTAGTCGACTGGAGGCTCGGGGCAGTTTTCTTGCTTACACCAGGAATGCTGCGGACAGCATTAATTTGGGGGGGGGATGTGGTGGTCCAGGCTGTTGTGCGCAACAAAACTGCCAAAACCCCTACCTTATAACCTAAACCACTTACATATATGAATATATTATTACATAATCAGAATCTACATACAATTTTACCCATAGTCACTCACTACAACTATACCTCTATCTCTATTAGCTTAGAAGATAATCCAATATAAAGGTTAAAGCCATACCATAACTAGTCATTAATTAGTATTTAATAGTATTTTACCACATATATATAAGTACATACACATAAATCATTACATCAGCAGGCCTCCACCAGTAGTGCAGGGCAGTTATGCAACTCTTGCATGCATATGTGCAACCATTAGGCCTCCACTTAGTTACTTAATTGAATTTATGCAGACTTTGCATAAATGCATGTGGACAGAAAAAACCTCCACCAGGCAGTGCAACCAGTTATGCAATCCTTACATACAGTAGTACCATATTTAGTTATTTCCACAGCATAATTAGCTCAATGCATGTACTCTTTGCAGGAGGCAGTGCAACCCACAAGGTCACCACCAGCAAAATCACCTCAACTGCATCACCACCAGCAAAAATAACTCAGAAAAGAATATATAAGGAGGCCTCTCCTTCACCAATTCCCCCCATCATCACCCAGCCGGTTCATCCCCCCCAGCCAGCTCAGTGGTCATCATCATCCAAGTCTAGTCAACACCAGTAACAACAGCAACACCAACACCAACACCAACAACAACATCAACAACAACAACCAACAGTTTCACTACTTATCCAGAATCACCGTAAAACCATAAAACCCTATAAAATATTCCACTTCAACTTGGATTGTTTTCACACTCACATTCACCGTGTAAAGGTTGTACAACCATCTTGTATTGAATTACATACTGATCTAGGTCTGATAGAGACTACTACATATAAGTTTTCTCCATCACAAAGTTACGCCACAACAATAAATTAAATTGTTGTCAGAATTCTTGTGTAGTAAATAGAGGGGCAGGTCTTTCAAACCACCCGTAACAGTAAATATTATCTAGTGAAATATCATTATTGTTATTTCCCCCTCAAGGACTGCCAACCCATCCCAAAGGAGTTCTCACAGCGGCGGCTCATGGCACCTCTCGCCATGCCGCTCCTCGTCCACCATGCGATTCAACCACTCCCCGCTCTGCGGTTGGCAGATGGTAGTCTCAAACTGCCTGCCCCCAGAGTCTCGAACCGCCATTATCTCCTCCCTCCGTCTGGGGCAGAACCGCAGGTCCGTTCTAAAAGCGAACAGGGAAAGGGCGGCCGAGTATAATCTCGTTAGACCTCGTGACCAAGAACGAGATCCGTTCTTCCACCTTGGCCACAAGCACCGGCTCCGCCTCCACCACCCCTTCTACCTCGCATCTGAATCCCCCCATGGTACGGATCGACATACTTGTTTTACGCCGCGCAAGGTTTGTCGCTCGGGCCAACTCCGCGGGCATGATGTTAATCATGGAGCCGCTATCAATCATTGCCCAAACCTTCTGGCCTTTGATCTCCATCTCGACGTACCCCAATGGGCACGACACCAGCGCTTGGTGTACCGGCTTTTCATTCTTGCCGTACTCCGCACTACGCACCTCAGCTAGTACCGTCCCGACGGGGGCGCTTACTTTCTCCGCGGCTTCCTTGAACGAAGGGCCCGCAGCTTCCCGGATACTCCCTATCAGCTGCTCCGCCATCAACGGAGAGATCGCCGCCAGGTCTTTAGGAGTGAGAGAGAGAGCCGTATCGTTTCCTAACGCTTTTCGGGCCAACTCGCCTGCTCTCTTCCTCTCGGCGGACTGTTGAGTTGCCGGCTCCCTCGCCTTCGGTTTCTTCGGCACCGGCTCCGCTTTTGGATTAGGATCCAGCTCCATCTGATTGTACCGCTCCCCAAAACAAACCCGCTCCTCCGCCGCCACCGCTCTTACTTCCGCAGCGACTGCCGGAGGAGTCCACGCTCTTCCCCGCTCCACTATCCCGATGTGGGACTTCACCTCTGCTTCCTTCCCCTTAGCCGTTTCCGGGGAGTCCGCACTTCTCCTCTTACGCACCTCGTCTCGCGGAATCGCTGCCTCTATCTTTTCACCATCCAGATAGTAGTCCCTCATTGTTGGACGAACCCCTAAGGTCTTGATGTCGGTAGTGAGGTCTGGACATTGAGACTTGAAATGCGCTGTCGAACCGCAATAACTGCAAGCTGGCGGCCCCCTCGGCGAAAATCCCTGCCCCTTGGTTGCCGCCTCCGGCGCTGAAGAGGTAGCTTCAGCCCCTGCACGTCCCGCTGGCGGTTTCCAGGACTGAGTCACCGTCTTCTGCATGAACAGGCGTAGCTCCTTGAGCGTATCCGCCAGTTCACTGACCTCCTTTGCAGACACCGGCTCCTTGCTCTTAGCCGATCCCGAGCCACCTCCCTCTATCCCGTCCTCTACCAACTCCTGCATGTCCATCTCGCCCAGAAGTGCCTTACGGATCTCCTTCATATCAGGCAACACAATCACACCCCCATCCTTAGATCTCTTCACCAAATTCCGATCGTAGAGCTGGCGGAGTGCCCTCTCCCGCATCTCCTTCGGAAAGGCTTTGATGAAGGTCCGCTTCACCGCTCCCGGAGTATCGGTGACAATCCCGTTCCGATTAAAATACTTCAGAATCCGATTGAACGAAGAGACGTACTTGGGG